GCACCCGGGGCAGCAGGGCGCGGGGCCCTGGGGGCGGGGCGCCCTCACGCTGGGGCTTCAGCGGGGGCGGGAAGGAGATACGGTAACTCCACGGTAGAGGAACCCGCGTTTCAACCCGTCGACGTGTCTCTACATCAGTGTTTCGCTCGCTCGCTCCCCCCTTCCCTCCTCCTACTCTCTCTGAAAAGCAATGGGAGAAGTATCCTCATGTGAGGATTAACAACAGACCTGCCAGTGTAAACGCACGGTTTTAAATGCACATCTACAAATAGACACAGAATTTTCAGTGCACTCTAGCGTGAGTCAGCAAGTGTTTACTAACCGTCTATTACAGCAGGCTCCGAACCCGCCGGCCAGCCAGTGGAGGTCTACTGCTGGTCGGCCGCACCGCCGCCGGCCCGCACCCACGCAGAAGAAACGACGGCAGGGCGCTAATGGGACTGATCCAGCAGCGAGGACGGCTGACGCAGAGTGAGGCTCAAGAGATGTTCGTCCCTACGGAGGGAACAGGGAACGTGCTGATACACCACTACTAGGGGCTGGCCTTAGAGCAACCAATTCACTGTGAAAGGAGGGAAGGAAAATATGGCGGCATAGATGCAGGGCAGGTGGGTAGACATGATGGGGAGGGTCTGAGATGTGGAAGTTCCCAGTGAAATAGGAAGCAAGGTCGATAGCAGTGAAATTGCCCATTATCATAAACAGTGTTGTAAGTGTCTGTAACAAACTCTTCCTGTATATATGCCCCTTTGCTCAAACACACAGTCCTCAGCCTTCAACCTGAGAACAGTTTCGGGGAACACCGGTCATGGGTTTGGTTTTCCTGTGTGCCAGTTAGATGTACTCTATCTAGCCCCATGCTCAGTCAGCTGGTCTGGAAAACCCTGCCTTTGTTTGTAAGGCAGATGAATCAGAAAACCCACCAACACTGGAGAAAGGACTTAGCCAAGCGCCTCTCTCACGGTGCCCCTAATAGCATCTTCCAGCAGAAACAGCCACACAGAGCTGCTGCTTATAAAGGAAGGTTTTGTCTTGTTTTCACACAGGACTATGTAGAGCAGCCTTTCCCCCATCAGCAACTTTCACCCTCTGGTAAAAGTTTCCAGATCCAAAATAGTGGCACCGGTTTTAAGCTGGCGATACTACAGGGAGGACACCTGACACTTGGCTGGCTGCTGAAGACCTACCCCCTCAGTGGGGAGACTAGTTTCAACCCATAGACCTTGATAAGCAGTTTCAACTCCTGAAAGGGGTGGGGAAGGAAGTGGAGGGTCTGGGTGTTACCATGTGACCAGGAGGAAGTGTTGAAGTGAGAGGCGGCTTAGGGCAGTGAGGACCAGCGTGGGCCTGAGGGTCCTTGTGACCCACCCACCAACCCCATGACCTTGGACAAGATTCTTCCTGCTTTTAAGCCTGCTTCCTCAAGAGTAAAATGGGGTTACATCTAACCCCAAGGGATAGAGACTGAGTGGGAGGAGGGAGAGCAGGAAGGTCTAGAATGAGGTCCAGAGCTCGCGTGCTGCAGTCAAGTTTGCTGACTTCAAAACTGGAACATGGTCTAACGAGTCGATTTTCTAAATTGTGAAATTTTTTAAATGGAAGGTTTAACAATGGCTCGACACTGTATAATTTGTTCAGACTATCTCATTGTGTCCTGAGTATCTGGCTGCCATATCCATCAACTCCAAACAGCAGGCCAAGGCATGAAGGCTGGGGGGAGGGCGTCCAGAGAACACTCTTAAGTATCCAAGGGCATTGGGGCCAGGCCGGAAGTGAGAAGCCGCCTCACCCACTGTGCAATCTAGACCAGTGACAAAGAAAATGACTTTTGGGTCATGGACACACCCTTAAGAAAATATGCCTGTGGCTGAAGACACCACCTTCCCTTACTTGTCCCCTTAATCTAATACCTGTCCCCAGTTTTGAGGGTCAGCCCTCAGTTGGATTCCCAGGCAAGACACACATTACACCAAGAGACACATACATTCAATTTATTCATTAAAATGGGGACAAATTATCCGTAACTCTGGAACGTCCAGTTGCATCACAAGTGTTGTTTGTTTAAAACTGGAAGAAGTAAGTGTTGGCAATACCTCTTGCAAGAGTCCAGGAATTTGTGCAGGTTGCACAATACCGAGTGTCCTTTTTGGTCAGTAGTATTGTTTCAGGAGAGACAGCATGTCGCAGATCTTTCCTATAACCTCCAGAAAAGTCAGCCAGCCAGATTTGGGTTCAAACTTCTTTACAAAGCCATTTTCCTATGAGAGAACAGATTTAACATTTAAAAAAAAATCAGTGGAGGCTAAGTTTGCTGGAATAAAAAGCAAAGAAGCTCATTTAAGTCATGCAGGCAGTTCACCTTCCCTGTGGTTTCACGTTTTATTGTCTGTCATCGTCTTTCTCTACTTCCGATCCCAGGGCAGCACTGCCCAACACAAACAGTGCAGCTACGTATGTAATTCTAATTTCTCAGTGGCCACATTTTAAAAAAGGAAAAAAGAAACAGGCAAAATTGATATTTGAAATATATTTATCTGGAGAGTATCGTGCTATGTGAAATAAGCCAGAGAAAGAAAAATGCCATAGGATTGAACTAATATGTGGAATCTAATGAACAAAAATAAACTGATGAGCAAAATGGACCCAGAAACATGAATACAGGGAACAGACTGGCCAGTGCTTGAGGGGTCGGGGTGGGGATGATCGGATAAAGAAGGTGAAGGGATTAGCTAAAGAACAGGTGATTTAATATATTTACTCAGGGAAGTTGGGCAATACTACTAATAATTACAACAGCAAGTACTGAGTACTTATTTGCAGAAACTGTGCTAGGTGCTCTCCATGCAATTTAACTGACTTCATCCTGACACCAGTCCTAGAAGGTATCAGTAGGTGGCAGTAGTCTCCCTGTTGTATGGAGGAGGAACCTGGGCTTAGAGAAGTGAAGTAACTTGTTTAGGTCACACAGGAGCCGGGAAAGGAGCCCAGGTCCGTCTGCCTCAGAGTGGGTGCTGTTCTGCCCTCTTCCTGTGGGCCACCTGACTCCACTAACAGACTTGTCACTGTGCCATTTCCCTGAAATGAGTCATTCAAGAGTTAAGTTCATTCATCGGGGCAGATTTGTCAAAATGGCTATGAGATTTGTCAAAACCTGTTTGCCCTGAACTCAGAAAAGCAGGGCCCTTCCATGAACAGAATCAATGACTCATGAGAGCTGGGAAAGGAAGATTGAGGCGGCTTTGAAAGGACCTCCTACAAAGAGTTTCCATTATGTCTCAAACCTAAGTTACATTCCGGTGTAAAGTCGACAGCTTAAAACCCACCTGAGGACTTTGTAAAGGCCAGGTGGGCGTGCGCAGGCACATGTGTGGATTTACGCCTCCACGCGAGACAGGCTCCCCCTGCCATGCTCACACACCTCTGCCTCCCCAAAAGATAACGACACTCCTAGAAATTCTCAGAGACAGCTCCCCAGCCCCCCCCCACACACACGGATTATGAGTTCCATGAGCTCCCAACATTTACTGGTAAGACGTTAAATTCTCAGCCCTGGCACGGGTGGTTCAGTGGCTGGAGCTTTGGCCTGAGGGCTGTGGGTTTGATTCCCAGTTAAGAGCATGTACTCGGGTTGCAGGCTCGATCCCCAGCCCCAGGGAGCAGGAGGCAACCAACTGATGTCTCTCTCAAGTCGATGTCTCTCTCTCTCCCCCTCCACCTCTTCCACTGTCTCTGAAAGTCAATGGAAAAAATACCCTCGGGTGAGGATTACCAAAAAAAGAAAAAGAAAAAAAAAGGAAGCAGTAAATTTTCAAATAACATTTACCACTGTCTGTCCCCGACATACTGCAGTCGGCACTGGGAATGCAGTACCAGCCCAGGCTCCCTGTGGCCCCTGTGCTGGAGGACGTTTGCCTTCACTTAAAGCTGCACAGCACAGCTAACTTTCCACCAGTCCATCTGCCCCATGGCTTCCCACAGCCGCCGGAAGAAACTACGACAAGATCTCACATGCGTCGCCCAGCCCCCCGTCAGGCTCAGTCGGAAGAGCTGCAGGAAGAAAAGGCAGAGAGGGTGCCTGCAGTAAGCTCCGTCATTCTGCACGAGAGCCTCAAAGAAATGCAAAGGACTAAGAACTAGGAACACGTCACGTTTTAAAACATTTTATAATGACTAGAAGACATCTGTGGCTTTAAAAGCTGGTTAGCAAACTGGAAGATAATCTGCCCCATGTTTAAAAATATTTTTTATCCAAAATAGTCAAAGAATTCCTACAAGTTGGTAAGAAAAAGACAAATATAATAGGGAAATGAGCAAGGAAGGTAAGTAGGCGATTCCCTAAGTAAGAGCGGCCACTGATCTATGCACACGCAGTAAAGGGAACAAGAATGGAGCAGAAGGAACTAGGTATATGCTTTCACCCGACAGGGGGGAGACTAGGAGATTGCTATAGCCCAGTGTTAAGTCAGCTGGCGGGGGAAACATCTGATATGCTCACAAGCTGTGATGGGAGGTGTTACTTGGTAGAAGTACTGGGGATGGAAAGGACCTAGTAAATTAAAAACTGTACCTACCCCACGACCCAGCAGTTCTATATCCCAACATCCACCGTAGAGATGCACACCTGTGCACAGGGAAGGCACGAATAAAGACAGCCAATGAAGTGTCCTTCCGACAGTGGACTGTGGAAATAACCTAATACCCATCAGCTGCAAGTGGCCAGACCTTCGACAGCATCCGCACACAACAGCACATGGATGCCCTCTTTAGAAAATACTGTTTCAAATACCCTTGGGTGAAGAAAAGGCAGAAAAAGGATCATGTACTATTTGTACACATATTTAAAACAAATTTTTTTACAAAGAGGTATCTTTTTCTATGGTAGATTCAATGGGGAGAAGATCCCTGGGGACACAGCACTTTTAAAAAGCTATCAAGTATTGGGATATAAAGAAAAGCATAGACACTGAGCTCCGAAAGGCCCCTCATCAATGTGAGTTCTAACACAAGCCCCACGTGCGGTCCTGGCTTTCCGAAGTCTTGATAATAAAGAATTTTTATTTGGAAATTCTTGAATAAAGTTTCTTGCTGGTGGTGCAGTAACACTGCTTTCTTATTATCAAGCTTTAATAGCCAGAATTTGTTATATGAGAAGACTGGGAGGGAAAAATCAATATGTGAGCAATGAACTTGCAAAAAGTTAACACCTACCTTTTATAAAACAGTGGTAATAAAACAGTGTTCATTACCAACTCTTTGGCTAAATCTGCATTATCATGACAACCTTAACAAACACTAAGGCCTAGACTAGGCTGTGCACTGTTGATTCTAAAGATGGGTCTTGAAAATCCTATATATACACATATATATGCAGGGTGTCCCAAAAAATGTATGCGCACTTACAATAATTATTAATTTCAATGGGTTAAATCTGAAAAGAAACATCAAATGAGTGATCAGCTGTAAAGGGTGTATGAATATTTTTGGAACACCGTGTGTGTGTGTGTGTTTTAATTAGCAAGGAAACTAAATTCCTATTTCAAAGTAAGGGACAAGGAAGACATTTACCCAGCCTCCGTTCTGCCTTATCCACTCTCCCGTGTGCGTTGTGATGAACTCGGCCACAAAGGAGGGCACGTCCTCGTAAGTGTCCACGTCTGGGGCAATGTGCTCCCTGAGCAGTTTCTTGATGAGAATCCCTTCGAAGGCGAACACAGTGACAATCCTCCCCCAGTTAATAATGCCGTCCTCAAACTCCTTTTTCATCACCTCACGGAACACCGTCCTGGCCATATCTACCGACGCAACATCAAAATCGTCCAAGCACGGTTTCAAAGTCTTCTCCACTTCTTTCTGGACAGAAAAAGCCACATCCTGCAACAGTAGGGAGGTTCTGCTGGGCCTGGACCCAGGCCTCGGTATCTGCAGGACGTACTCCAGGTAGTCCTGGGCCAGCTTGTGGACGAATCTGAACTCGCAGTCGGTCATCTTCTGCCTCGTCCTGAGCTCCTTCCTACAGAGCACAGCGCAGAATGCGCCAGCGGTGGGGTGCGACACCCAGTGCCTTCAGGGGCGGTGGAATTTTTGCTTACATCACCGGATGGGATCCTTCCTCCCCCGCTGCATACAAAAGTAAAAGTTCACGTCTCCAGAGAGAGAGGCCACTTCCCCATCCTGTGGTGGCTAATTCAGTTTTTTCAGTCTCCAACCCGAGGGTGCAGAGAAGCTGTTGGAACTCTTGTCCATGGCTGGTGGAACGGAACGGGGCAGCCCCTGTGAAAATCTGGCAGTTCCCCCAAAAAGCTAAATACAGAATGACCATACGACCAGGGAATTCCACTTCTAAGTGTATTTACCGAAAAGAAGTGAGAAATAGGGACTCAAACAAATACTTAAATGCAAATGTTCACAGCAGAATTATGCACAACAGCCACAGAGGTGGATGGAAACAACCCATACACTCACCAACAGATGAATGGATTAGCAAACTGCATAACATTACTCAGTCACAAATTGAACCCTACAACGAGGATGAATCTCAAAAACATTACGCCAACTGAAAGAAGCCAATAGATTAAAAAATCCATAATAGGTAAATTCATCGAGACAGAAAGCAAACTGGCGTCTACCAGCGGCTGAGAGCAGGGGTGGCAACTGCTCACCAGGTCCAGGTTTTGTAGTGACGCAAGTGTCTGGGGATGACAGAGGTGGCAGCTGCACAGCACTGTAAGTATACTCAACACCACCGAACCGTTACCTTTACAACGGGTCATTTTAGCCCTGGCCGGGGAGCTCAGCTGGTTAGAGCATCCTCCTGGTAAGCCGGGGCTGTGGATTCAGTCCCCGGTCAGGGCACGTACAACAACCAACCAGTGAGCCTGGCCAGTGCAGCTCAGTGGCTGAGCATCAACCCACGAACCCGGAGGTCACAGTTCAATCCAGGTCAGGCACCTGCCGGGGCTGCGGACTCGACCCTCAGTAGGGGGTGTGCAGGGGGCAGCCGATCAATGACTCTCATCACTGAATTGAACCGGGGACCTCTTGGTTCACAGGTTGTTGAACATAGGTCGCAGCTCATTCTACTCACCAGCTCAGGATCCGTCCTCCAAGGACTCCCCTAGGCCTGTGCAGAGGAGCCCCAACTCCTCAAAGGATCGCTCTGGCTCAACGTCCCTAGACACCATCTCCTACACCCCAGTCCTCTGCCCGAACTCTCTGGGTATCCTCCTGGCTCCTGGAGGCTGGTCTTCCTGTGTCTCTCACTGGTATGGCTTTTTCTTTTCATTCCCATGTCTCCAAATCTCCACCTTCAAGGCCCACTCTCCCTACAGCCAGGGCATCTCACCATGTGTATGTTCCTGCAGGAATCCTATAAATAGCATGTTTCAGGGTGGATCTGCTGGTGATGCCCTTTGCTGGGCTCCAGAGTGACCCCTCTCCCAGGAAGAGGGCAGCCTCACGTATCTGACTCCTTCAGGAGGCCAGGATTCTATCACCATCACTGCCCATAATGTCCGTTTTCACAAAAGGTCTACTTCACAGGCTGATACCGTGGCTGCAGCTACATCCCTTTTTCTGTTTCACTCAGCAAAGCGAAAGCAAAATCTTTGGGTTTTCCTAAATGCCATCTTAGAGAAAGTACCAAAGAATAGCCCATTTGAATAGGACCTTCAAGTGATGTGGGCAGAGAGGGCCTTGGACTTTCCACTGCCAGAAACCAAATGGCGAGAGAGAGACAACACGGAGGACGCAGAAGTGGGTGCTGGTGAGTGAAACAGGGACCCCTCCAGGGCAGTCCTCTGTGGGGAGCCGAGAACTTGCAACACCCCAGAGCAAAGATGAGAGCCCACAGCCTCTCACTCAGCCAACTTCAGGGAACACCTGCCTCCTGCCTGGTCAGGGATGGGCACATAGTACAGGGGTCATGTTCATTACCACAGTGCTCGTGCTGTGATGGGGGGTGTCCCACACAGAGCACCAGAAAGTCCAACTTCCCCATGGTAAGTGCCCCAAAAGAAAATGACACGAGGGTTTCCCAGGGGAGGCTCCATGTAGCTTCTATGGTGTGAAACGCCCCCAGGCAGAGACAGGCGCTGCTGCTGAGGCTGCCGTGCAGTACAGGGGCTGTGCGGGCACTGGGAGGGGCCAAGGGCTGGGTCCAGCAGCCCACATCCTGGGCCAGGGGCTTGAAATGACTAAAAAACAAGAGGACACTCCGAAGGGTGTTAAGCAGGAGAGAAACTCATCCAGATCTGCATTTTCGGCAACAAGTTTTTCTGTTCTGTTTTGTCTTAATCCTTAAGAATATGTTTATTGACTTGAGAGAGAGAGGAGCACCAATGAGAGAGACGCCTACCGGTGGACTCCAGTATCCGCCCCGACTGGGAATCGGACCCACAACCTCGGCATAGTGGGACGATGCTGTAATCAACTGAGCTACCTGGCCAGGGCCACAGAGTTTCTTTAAATCAACTTTGTCGAGGTATAATTTCCAGAGGGGACTTGGGGCCATTTCCCTTTTCCTGCCCGAAAGGCCTGGGGAGCCCGGAGGAATGTGCACGCCCCCAGGCCTAGGAAGAGAGCTCAGTGGAGACGCCGGACCCGTCCTCCAGGAATAGAGGGGCTGCCAGGGCGACAGGGACTCAGACAGGACCACACACAGAGGGAGTACCATTGCAGCCTGCCCTTTGCTTCTCTGTGCCCTCCCGGCATGCCAGGCCAGGGTGGCGAGTCCCAGCCTGCCTGTGACACAGGTGATCCTGTGTGGACCTGAAAGGTCGCTCTCCTTGTCATCACAGCCCCAGGAAGCCACCTTTCTAAGGACTGGACTGCAGCCAGGCGGGTTCTTCCCAGCCTCTGTGGACGGTGCGCAGGCAGACAAGCCTCTGGGGTCCCTGATGACAATAGGACCAGTTCAGGTTTTACCACATTTTCCCAACTGTGTGTTTAATGCAAAAACAGCTTAGAACTTAGACCTGAACACCTGGGGTTTTTGTCTGGGGTGGAGACAGGGGAGGAGGAGTCCTCAGTCACCATCTTTTTGTTGAGTGTTTACCTTATTGCCACTGAGTACCTGGCTCTAGGCTGGATGCTGAACACTGAGAAAACCAGACACAGCTGCCCTCAGGAGTCCCCAGCCTGGAGTAAAGAGAGAAAAAAAAAAGACGTAGAAGTACTGTAGAACAGAGTAGAGAGGAAGGAATGGCAAGGAGCCACAGGAGCTGATACAAGGATTTTAGCAGGGAGAGGGAATATTTATTGGACATCTAGTACGTGCCAGGAACTATGCCAGCAACTCTGAAAAACCTCATGTCATTTAAATCCCCCAAGTCTTCACTCTGTTCCACAGAGGAAGAATCCGGCCCCCAGAACTTGACGGTCCCATGGCTAGAAGTAGCCGAGCCAGAAATAAGACCCAGGGCTGTCTGGCGCCAAAATAGACACATACAATGTTATTTGTAGATTTTTCCTAAATTCACATGTGGACATGAATGAATAAATGCCGGTCTCCGTGAGCTCCGTCCACCATCACAAACAAGTCAAGTNTGGCAAGGAGCCATAGGAGCTGATACAAGGATTTTAGCAGGGAGAGGGAATATTTATTGGACATCTAGTACGTGCCAGGAACTATGCCAGCAACTCTGAAAAACCTCATGTCATTTAAATCCCCCAAGTCTTCACTCTGTTCCACAGAGGAAGAATCCGGCCCCCAGAACTTGACGGTCCCATGGCTAGAAGTAGCCGAGCCAGAAATAAGACCCAGGGCTGTCTGGCGCCAAAATAGACACATACAATGTTATTTGTAGATTTTTCCTAAATTCACATGTGGACATGAATGAATAAATGCCGGTCTCCGTGAGCTCCGTCCACCATCACAAACAAGTCAAGTATCAATTAATTTACTCTGGATTATCGAGGATCCTGCTGCGGGGCTGGGCAGGCCCAATGCCCAGCACCCACTCAATAGGCCTCCACAGGGCGCCGCCTCGTGGTCACATGTGAAAATGCAGCACAGGCCCCGCCACCCTTGCAAACCAGGTGCTCCTTTCTCCCAGCGCTTCATGCCAGGGTGAAAGGAGCTACAGGCACCGTCACCAAAGGTTTGGGCTGGCTTGAGAAATTCAGGGACCCCAGCAAGTGGCAACAGGAACTCCTCCCGGGGGAACCCCTGCCAATCAGGCTGGCTGCATCCGTTGTGCTGGCAGTAAAACCCTTCCTATTTTAAGGAGTTCCTTGTATGCGACAGCCCTTTCACACTGGAGATTTGGGTGGGAAGATGTGGCCCTTGAGTGGCTCACAGTCTGGTGATGGAGAGAGCCATGGGCAATCCCACGACTCTTGCAATCCCACACAGCAAGTGCTCCCAATACGAGGTGTGCTGGAAAGTCTCCCAGATGAGGTTATAGTGCAGCTGCTGCTGTAGTATGTGTAGGAGTTTGCCAGGCGGAGGAGGAAGCACCGATGGAGGAATGGGGTGAGCCAGACAACAGAAGCTGGGAGGAACTGCAAGTTCAATACAGACCAGAGCCCGACGCCCAGAGGACGGCGGCAGGCGCTGGGCAGGGCCAGGCCGGAGAGGGTCTCGAGGCCGCGCGGACAAGAGCAGCCGCATGCAGGGCAGCGGGCTGAGCAAGGCGGGGCCAGCCCGTCTGCC